GAAAATAAAAAACATGAACTATTAAGAAAATAGAAGAAAACTTAAATCGATGTGTATATCTACGCATGTTCATGCATGTGTAGTGTGATGTAAGTGTAAGTAGAGGTAGCAAGATATACCTAATATCTTGCATATTATGAGACAGAAAAAATGATGGTTCATTTGAATAATTCTGAAGAGAGGTTGCAAAGTTTGATGGAGGAATTTGGGAAGGTATGTAAGACATGGAAATTAAAAGTGAATATTGAAAAGAGTAATGAGATAAGAGTGACAAAATATTTAGGGAGGGAAAAATTGGATATCAAATTGGAAGGAGGGAGTATTGAGGATGTGAATGTATTCAGATATCTGGGTGTGGACAGGTAAGCAGAAGAGTCTGTGAAAGATCATGTGAACATTAAATAGATGAGAAATAAAAGGCGAGTGGTGCATTGACTTACTCTCATTATCTATAATTCTGCCATCATTTACGCCTACGCCCACCCAAATGACTGTAAGCACACAGTTCCTAATATAACTGTTGCATATTAAATCTTAAGTGAATGCTAAGTTTGTCTGTGATACTCTCCCAGTATGGCTTTAATATAAATAATGTATCATGCCAAGATACATTACTAAATCTACCATTTGTAATATTAAATGATTTGAAGTACCTAACTATTTTAAACCTAATTATGTATGTACCTAACTGGGAATGTATCTAATTATGTACCTAGTAATATGTTCAAATGTACTGCTCAAATATAACCTATATCAAAATAGCATAAGAATTAGTATTAGTCTGCCCAAAGTGTCGAGGCACGATAGCGGCCATTTTTCTCATTAAAACCTCATAATGTGTAAACTACTCATTGTAAGCTTTTTTCTTTTCTTTCAACAAACCGGCCATATCCCACCGAGGCGGGGTGGCCCCCCCCCCCCCCCAAAAAAAAAACGAAAGTTTCTCTTTTTATATTTAGTAATTTATACAGGAGAAGGGGTTACTTGCCCCTTGCTCCCGGCATTTTAGTCGCCTCTTACAACACACATGGCTTACGGAGGAAGAATTCTGTTCCACTTCCCCATGGAGATAAGAGGAAATAAACAAGAACAAGAACTAGTAAGAAAATAGAAGAAAACTCAGAGGGGTGTGTATATATATGCTTGTACATGTATGTGTAGTGTGACCTGAGTGTAAGTAGAAGAAGCAAGACGTACCTGAAATCTTGCATGTTTATGAGACAGAGAAAAGACACCACCAATCCTACCATCATGTAAAACAAGTACAGGCTTCCGGTTTACACTCGCTTGGCAGGATGGTAGTATCTCCCTGGGTGGTTGCTGTCTACCAGCCTACTACCTAGGATTGTAAGCTTTACAATGATATAAATATTTGCATTTGTATTGAGGGATCTGTGGTAAAAATATTTATTTTTGGAGGCATCAAGATGAATATCAGAGTTCAGTAATTTCAACACTTTGATGTGGGTTCGAGGCCTCCAACTTCCAAGCCTTGCAGCTTGCAAGTTGGAGGCAGTAGAGATGTCATGCTTGAGATTTTTTTTTTTTTTTTTAACACCGGTTATATCGTGCCGAGGTAGCATGACCTGAAAAAATAAGAAACATTCTTAGCATCACTCTGTTAGTACCTTGCCAAAGGTGTGCAGACACTACTGCTCAGTGCCTGCACTCACACTCTAACAGCACATTGATTAGTAAAAGTTACTTGCCCTGACTCCTGTTTAACATGCTCATATATGCCCGTTGGATGATCAAGCCCCTCGCGTATAAAACCCTCTTCCTCCAGTCTTTCCTAGGATGGCTCTTACCCTTCCTTTCCTCCACTTCTGATTTATACACTCCAAGTCATCCTGTTTTGTTCCATTCTCTCTGAATGTCCAAGCTACCTCAACAATCCCTCCTCGGCTATCTAAATACAGTGGTACTTCCAATTTCAAACAGCTCCCAACTTGAACAATTATGTAAGTGTATTTTTGTAAGTGCTTTTGTAAGTGTATTTTTGGGGGTCTCAAACAGACTAATCTAATTTACAATATTCCTTATGGGAACAAATTCGTTCGGTAACGGCACTCAAACAGCCTTCTGGAATAAATTTAGGCCGAAATTTGAGGTACCACTGTAATAGTAATGCTGCACCTTCTACTCTCCCCACTACAGACTCTGCATAATACTCACACTGCACATGACCCTTAGACATGACATCTCCACTGCCTCCAGCCTCCTTGCTGCAGGTTTGAAACCCATGCTTCACAAATATATAAGAGTATTGGTATCACTGTTCTCAGATACAGTCCCCTTATTGTTTCCAATGACAACATTCTTTATCTCCACAGATGCCTCAGTGCACCACTCGCCTTTTCTTCCTCATCAACTCTATGGTTTGTGTCATCTTTCACAGACCTGTCTGCCAACATCTCCACTAGCAAATATTGAAACACATTCATTTCTTCTATACTCCCTCCTTTCAATCTGATATTCAGTCTTTTATTACCTAATTTTTTTTTTGTTACCCTCATCACCTTACTCTTTCCTACACACATAAATATATATATATATATATATATATATGTTCACTCTTAATTTCCCTCTTTTACGTACTCTCCGGAATTCATCCAACAACCTTTTCAACTTTTCTGCATAAAGCAACTGTGATAGCTCGCGCTTCATATTAGATTCTTTATCTTTTAATCCCACACCTCACCCAAACACCCTAGCATTCACATTCACAATTCCACCTATGAATATATTAACCCTTTCAGGGTCCAAGGCCCAAATCTGGAGTCACGCACCAGTGTCCAAGAATTTTCAAAAAAAAAATTTGTTATTTTTTCTTATGAAATCGTAGAGAATCTTTTTGTGAAGGTAATAAAACAAAAAGTACGAAATTTGGTGGAAAATTGACGAAATTATGCTCTCGCGAATTTTGATGTGTCAGCGATATTTACGAATCGACGATTTTGCCGACTTTGACTCCCATTTTAGGCCAATTACATTATTCCAATCAACCAAATTCTTAGCTATTTCACTAGTATTACTTCTATTCTATCGATTGAGCACAAGAAATCGCCAAGTCAACTGTTTCAACTACAAAATAAAGTGATCAGAAATTGTTAATTTGGCCAATTTAACACAAAGTTCAAAATATTCCAGTTTCAAAATAGGGTCCAGAATGAACAATGTAGGCATTCCTGGCACTAAACTAACATTTCCTCTGTTCATTAGTTATGTTTTGAGGCTTTACAAATAAATTCCATTTTGATTTTTTATTCACATAATGAATTTTTATTCACACCAAAAAATAGAAGATTTACTGTTATGCAATACTGTAATAATTGTATAAATATCATCACCATATTTGTGAATGTATATTAGACCCACCAGCTGACGTGTATTAGACGTGTGAGGTCGTTTGTTTTACTCTTGAATATCGGCAAAAATTTAACATTTCTGCTACTTTGAGCTCAGTTTCAAGCCATTTCCAGTGCTAAAACCAATCAAAATCATCTCTATTTCTGTAATATGTCTTCCATTCTATCAAATGAGACAAAGAAATCGCAAATATAACTTTAAAAAACATACGAAAAAACACTGCAAAGTTGCTGTTTTAATCGAAAAAATCATGATTTCATTTTTTTTCTCTCATTATACACAGTGTGCTGCAGGATCTGTTTTATGTGGTGCACACATACCACATAGATGTATTCTCTCATATCTAGGCCCAAATGTACCACTCACAGTTTATCAGAGTGAGCTGAGCTCATGGCGTAGATCTACGGTTTGGACCCTGAACGTAAAGCCGTAGATATACGGGACGGACCCTGAAAGGGTTAAACAACCATGGTGGGATCACACTTACTTTCCAAAGGCTTTTACTGGAAATTTATCTACCTCCTACATATTTTAACCTAAGCCTTACTATCCTTAATCTACCATGTATTCCATACACCTACAACATCTACCACATTGCTCCCCTCTCCACCCTATCATATGCCTTTTGGAAATCCATAAATGCAACAAGACTTCTTCACCCTTGTCTAAATCTTCTTTCAACAAACTGGCTGTATCCAACTGAGGCAGGGTGGCCCAAAAACAAAAACAAAAGTTTCTCTTTTTAAATTTAGTAATGTATACAGGAGAAACGGTTAATAGCCCCTTTCTCCCGGTATTTTAGTCTCCTCTTACGATACACATGGCTTACAGAGGAAGAAGTCTGTTACACTTCCCCATGGAGATAAGTGGAAATAAACAAGAATAAGAACTAGTAAGAAAATAGAAAACCCAGAGGGGTGTTTATATATATGCTTGTACATGCATGTGTTGTGTGACCTAAGTGTAAGTAGAAGTAGCAAGACGTACCTGAAATCTTGCATATTTTTTTTCTTCTTTCAACGCACCGGCCATATCCCACCGAGGCAGGGTGGCCCAAAATGAAAAACAAAAGTTTCTCCTTTTACATTTAGTAATATATACAGGAGAAGAGGTTACTAGCCCCTTGCTCCTGGCATTTTAGTTGCCTCTTACAACACGCATGGCTTACGGAGGAAGAATTCTGTTTCATTTCCCCATGGGGATAAGAGGAAATAAACAAGAAGAACAACTAGAAAGAAAATAGAAGAAAACCCAGAGGGGTGTGTATATATATGTTTGTACATGTATGTGTAGTGTGACCTAAGTGTAAGTAGAAGTAGCAAGACATACCTGAAATCCTGCATGTTTATGAGACAGAAAAAGGACACCAGCAATCCTACCATCATGTAAAACAATTGCAGATTTCCGTTTTGCACTCACTTGGCAAGACAGTAGTACCTCCCTGGGCGGTTGCTGTCTACCAGCCTCATACCTATTCTTGTCTAAATATTGTTCACTTATATGGTTCACTGTAAACACTTGGTCTACTCAACTCTTACCCTTCCTAAACCTTCATTCATCTGCAACACTTGAATGTAGATCTCTATTATTTCAGCAGTACTTTCAGTTACTAATTTTGCTTTCTTTGACAGACACTGAGGAAGATCATGGGATATATCAAGCTGAGACTTGAAGCAACTTGGAATGATACTAACAAACAGAAGGATTCTTCATAATATTGTGGCAGCACCTCATTTTTTTAATATGACTGTCATCAACATCACCTGTAACTGTCATTTTTATATTTCATGGTAATGAAGGAACTTTATATTTCATGGGGAAATGAACATTGAACCCTTGACCTGACCAACTGATAGTAGGGAGGAGGTATATGTTATTGCCAATTGTCCCTAGAGTCCAAATAACAAAAGAAAAAATTCATGATCGTAATTTAAATGCACAATGTTCAGAATAAGCAGATTTGGTATGTTGATTCAAGACTATGGAACATTAGAAACTTTGTAACCTAAAAGCAGTAACAGCACAGTAGAACCTTCCCGTATCCACAGATTCGGTATCCACGGTTTCAGTTATCCACAGTTTAGTGGCCCAAAGGCTAAGAGAAGCCGTGAAATACTTCCCATCAGTGAAAAAGTGCTAATTCTAGACTTGTTTTGCTTAATTTGTCAAACTTGATCATAGGTATGTAAAGGAAAAATGACTTATATATAGGGTTCACTACTATCCATGATTTCAGGTATCCGTGAAAGGCCTTGGAACATGTTCCCTCTGGATACGGGAGACTCTACTGTAAGAATTGTAATTATACTGCAGGAATTGTAATTAAAATAAAAGTGCTGTACGATAGTATATTAATTTTACTTTAAGTTTTGTGGTGTGATGATGAGGTATAAACTGCTCTGATCAATAGTGGTGACCCAGAATAACTTCTGTTCAGAGACATAGGGGCTGTAAAGCTCCACTAGTGAAATTGTAGCTCCACTAGTGAAATTGTAGATGGCTGAGAAGATGGATATCAATCGCTGTTTCTTGACCACATATTCCTCATATACCCATGCAGTTGAGATGCCAAAATCAACCTTCCTTATTGGATAAGTGCATGCACCCGTACTGGAGATACATTGGAATCATTGGGATCTTTTCATTTATTCAGAAGACCACCAGACACTATCACTGCAGACAAAATCTGGAATCTGTAACTTTTTCCATTTTCTCCATTGATTCTAATGTTTGTCCACGGTTTTCAAAATCTGTTAAATGGGATCCATTAACCCGTAAACGGTCCAAACGTATATATACGTTTTTTCAACATTTGAAAGTATGTAAAAAAAGTAGATCTTCTTTTTTTTTTTCTACATTTGAAAATGTGTAAAAAAAACTTTGATCT